TTATGATGTTTATAAAATATATTAATGTACGCAATTTGAATGAGCAAGATATGCAAGTTTTATTCGATTTCCTCTCATTATCCCTTATAGAAATATCATACTAAAAATCATTGATAATTACTTATTATCTAGTATTTTTAATACTGAAAATATGTAATTATCAATGATTCTTAGTATGATATTTCTATAAGGGATCATCTAGTAGTGATGATGACAACTATTTATTTTCCAATGAAAGATATATTACCCCCAAAATAAAAAACTTTTTAGAAGTAGAACATAAGTTTTCTGATAACAAGGTAAATTTTTATTTTAGGTTACCCTTATAGAAATATCATACTACGAAATACTAAAAAATTATTAGTGATTAAATATTACCAGTAATTCAGTAATTTTTTGGCCAGTACTTAATTTCTGGTGAATACTGATAATAAAATCGCTGTTAAATATTGATAGTAATCAAATACTGAAAATTATTATGCAAAGGTGAAAAATGAGAAAATCATAATGTTTACAAAAATATACTCATATTCCTAATTTTCTCATGTCTCATAAACTACTACCCTTATAGAAATATCATACTAAGAATCATTGATAATTACTTATTTTTAGTATTAAAAATACTGGATAATAAGTAATTATCAATGATTCTTAGTATGATATTTCTATAAGGATAGATATCGAAGGTTGTCAACACATTCCAAACTTTCATGAACCCTCCTGCGATAATTTCGATCCCAAGCGGTATACCACTGGTTATCCCATTCATATCCTGACCGCATTAAACTGTTGCTTAACCTGACGATCGAGCGCGCACGCGGTGACTCCAACGATGTTCTTACAATTCATGCTTATATAATGTATCCTTAAATTGTTCACAGTATATTATAATATATCTAGCAAACACCAAATAATAGTTATATAATTTTTACTTGTTGTTTATTGGATAATTTGTTGATAGATATTGAAACAATGCAACATTCGATATGCGATGAATATTGATGTAATGTAGTGAACCAGTGATAATTACTTTTACATTTTTAACAAAATGTTATAATGATTAATCCAACAAAAAAAAATTAAAAAATCCAAATTAAACAAGTCGAATTACTAAATTTTGAGAGAAACTTTTAAAAAATATTATTTAAAACAATAGTGTTGTTTCATCAAATGACATTGTTTTCTTGAACAAAATAAAAGTTTTATTTTCATTATTTTAAAAAATGATATTTCGTTTAAAAATATAATAATAATATAATAAGAATATAATAATATAATTAATGAAATAAGAAAAAACCACAAAATTAAACAAGTACGAATATTAAATCTAAAGAAAGTATTTT